GGCCGGGTGGAGTTCGGTTGCAGTTGGGAAGAACGATGATCTCCCCACTCTTTCATTTGAATGGGGTGGTGAGAAGATGACAATGCTACTCGACAGCGGGTCAGCAGCTTCGTTGATCGATCGTGAAAACTCGGAGCGTATGATTGAGAGAGGAGCCGCAGTAAAGATCAGGGGCCAGTCGTCAGTGTCCATCCGTTATGCAGATGCTAGGGTGGAACCGTCCTGTGGCGAGATCCTCGCCAACGTATGCATTGATGGCAAGCCTGCCTACCTTCCTTTCCTCATCGTGGAGAAGCTGGCACAACCACTGATAGGGCGGCGTGGTCTACGACTTCTAGGAGCTACTCTTGACTTTCCCCAAGACAGCAAGGAGGAGCGAATAGCTCTTCAGAAGATGTTTGAGAGTAGATCTACTGATGCCATGGCTGCTGATATCGATCTCTCAACTGCTATCATCGACTGTTACTCTACCAATGAGGAGATGTTCATTGCCGACGACGGTGACCTACAGGCTGTGGAAAGTGGTCTGCAACGACCGTCGTCGAAATCGTCGGCAGCATCTGAAGCAGGAGATGTGCTGGATCGTCGAGTTGATGAGGTGTTGGCTCGAGCATCAGCTGAGCTACACAAGAACGGGAAGGATTATAAGGGTCGAGAGAAGGAACTCCTCCGAACCTTATTCGCCAGAGTGAGCGAGTTGGGCGGTATAACGATCTCTGATGGGTACGAGTTGTCTCTGAAGAGAGAGCGTGAGGCATCTGGCAAGCCAGAATTTTCCTTTGTGGTCAAGTGGACGACGAAAACTTCTTCGTCAGATGGTTCGTCCAAAGTTCCGAGAGGTTGGTGTAGTAACTCTATGATACAGAAGCTCGACGAGGATGAGCGATCTGAGTTCAATCAGCATTGCTCTGTGTATACTGAGAGGGGTTGGTGGGAGAAGGTCGAGGAAGACGAGTCTGAACTTCGTAGGATACGTCGTTCCCATTTAACCGGGACGATCTTTCCAGTGAAGCAGAAGTTGACGAAGTCTACTCGTATCCGGCCCGTAGCGGATATGAGAGGGGCCAATTTTTACTCACCAGCAGTGTCTGCAGTTCAACCAACGGTGTTGAAGGCAGGGCAAGTTTTGAGAGGGGTGCTCCGAAAAGGAGTGCAGATACGACAATACGACCTCGAGAAAGCTTTCTATTCTATCGGTATCGAGGTCATCGACGTGGTTACTGGTGAACATACTCCAGTCTACCTATCGGTCGGTAAGGAGTTGTTTGAGTGTTCTAAGCTAGCCTTTGGGCTGGCGGTAGGTCCGCATGCGTTGAACTGTACTCAACGTATCATTCGCAAAGTCGTTCGCTGCGCTTACGACGTATTGCAAGGTGCTCAATGTCACGATGTCTACCCTACCATTGTTGTTGTCATGGACGACTTCGTAGTAGCCGGTGAGGCTCCTGTGCTTGATGTCGTCGAACAGTTGCTTTTGCTGGGTTGGGACCTGTGCGGTTTCAATTGCCCTGATGCGAAGCGTGAGAGATGGTCGAATGGCCAAGGTACCCGTTGGCTCGGGAATCTTTGGTGCTGGGACGATGAGCACGAGAAGTTATCTGTTAAGCGCTGTGAAGCTCCGGTGGTCCCGGAGGCTGAGATGTTGAGTAAGCGTATCGTGTTCCAGTTGGCCGGGAAGATCGGCTCGGTAACGGGAGGCGCTTATGAAGCTTTGGCGAGATGTCATGCTGATGCAGCACGAGTCGCTGCTGGTCGGGCCGGTTCCTGGGACGATCAGGATCAGCCCTGGGCGAAAGAAGCGGAGTTGCGAGTCAGGAAGCGTAACGATCTTCTTCAGATCTATGAAGAGGAATGGCTCCAATGTCGCAACCGAGTGGCTATGTCTAAGAAGTTAAGCTCTTCGACTGAACGACTATCGCCTGGTGACAAGGCTGTTCTTTTCAATCCGGGTAAGGTCGGTGGATCCCGAGAGTCCAAGCTCTCTGGTTGTGCGTCCGGGCCTTACTATGTGCTCGAGGCTGTTGGGGATCAATGCTATCATCTAAGTTTAACTTCTACTGGTCAAGGACGCAGTGCAGTATTCCATGCAAGTCGCTTGCGGAAATACGATGGTCCTGCGAATCCGGAGTCCAATGTCTGTCCACTCTGCCAAGATCTTCGTGATGATATGGTTATGGTTGCCTGCGATGGCTGTAATCAATGGTTCCATATTTCCTGTCTTGGTTTGAGCGAGGACTCAGATGCGATTTTGGCGGATGAATGGTTTTGCCAAGATTGTTTGGCAAAAAGGGGGCGAATAATGTGATGATGATTTCTCGAGGCTTGACAACTCTGCTATGGTTGTCGCTTATTCAGACGAGGATTCGTGATTGATCCTGTCTACTTTTCTCTTTCGTATACTCATTTTCAGACTTATTGAGAAATAGTCAAGAACTTACGAGATTACAAGATATGTCTGTGACGCGTCCGATATTCGGTTCTGATCTGTGACGTAAATCGGGAAGTCCGTATTTTTGCAGCTCGTTACATTTCGAGTATCTTACGTACTTCAGGGGTTCTTATTTGGATCTTAATCTTCGGTCTATTCCGTCACTATTACTCCGATATGGATACGAGTCCTAGTAGAGAAAGCGATGTTGGGTTGCACGCGAGTCCGTCGTCGATAGCTTCTAATCGAGAGTCTGCAGGGGAGGAAACCGTGTCGCTACACCCTGGATAGAGTTTTACATGTAAAATCCAATCATACGGGCGCTCTTGAGTTTGTCTGCTGTACACAATCAGAATAATCATGACTCACAGTATAAATGGCACAACGCTGATCTCGAGCTTCGAGACACCTTGCGGCGCAGTGTATTGTGCAGTGAATGCACAAGTCGGTTCTATGGAGTACAACTGTGCCCTAAAGTCAGGGTGGTTCTATTCAGTCCACTGTTATACTTGTTATTTGCTTCACCAAACCACTTTCATCCAGCCCGGATATTTCGATAGGGATCTTGAGATGACGAAAAATACGGAAGTGCCGAATCCACGTCGTTCTCGCCAGAAGTTATACTCTTCCACGTTGAGTTCATGAGCCTAACCTACTAGTAATTGAACACTTCACCACAAAGTGTGTTGCCCTCATTCGAACCATTAGGGGTAGATGAACAAGATATTCTAATACTGTCGTCATTCAGATTTCACTTCTAACAATGCTTGGTCCTAGACAGTCAGTTTTCCACAGTATACACCGCAGACTGAAGACAACATTGGCGTCCCGAAGGCCACAACATCACCATTGGGAGGACTCCTTCGATGAGGTTCAGGCCCAGCATACTACTGGTCAGTAGTCTATCACCAGTAGCTATAGCCGAGGCCTGTACAGGTCCAGATATGGATGCCGCACCGCTATTGAGGAATTCATCGTCGATAGTAAGGGAGGATTCAGGGAGGAAGCTCAAGCGGTTGGAGCATTTTGAACGGTAGTGATAGCAGTATGCCATGGTATATGTTGCTCACTATAGGGCTGATACGGCAACAGCGATTCTAAAGAAGACTAAATACCAGGTAGGAAGAAGTGTACAGACCTACGATGAGAAGGAGAGAGCTGGGGTGCAGCGGGCTATTGATGCTGAGAAACGGAAGAGCAGGTAATACTCACCTTAGTCTGGTCTATGCTCCAAAAGACGAATATTCAACCTCAAAATTCCGCATTGGCTCACCAGACTGAGATCTCAGTAGATTGACTGTACGCCAGGGCCACTCCGTTACAATAGTAGACGGCCTTCTAATCGTTAGCTTCTACCTGTATATAGGCATGCGCTATACTTGATAATACTATCTAGGTATTCAGTGACGAGAGAACATATACTAGATAACCGTATGTACGTCATGGACGAGGATGCAATATCACTAGCCAAACAGTCTATTGATAAAGTGTAATATCACTGCAACACCCAATGCATATCCAATCACCAATCAGTGTCGAGAATGAACGGTCGAGGAAGGTGCGTCTGAAACTCAAACAGCAGGAGGCTACTGCGGCCGTGGCAGCTCCAATAGGGGAGGACACTCAGGAGAGCAATTCTAAGCCTGTCAGCGAGGAGCATGATACTGTCCATACTCAACCAGTAGCTCTGGGTGTGGTCATACTTGCCATACACCTTTGCTTCAGAATAGCGTCGATCAAAAGCCCATACCCCTGGAGGTGCCCATACCAGATAGGCTCCAGGATGACTTACACACATCCCCCTCCCGACAAGCATTCCAATTCCGTAGAGCTAACTTTCCTGAGAAGGGTACTCGAGGAACTACTGGGCCGTCCTCGTCCCCGCACCCCGAGCCTCGTCGGGTCGCCTCCAATGCTGTAGTTGATCGGCTACACAAATTAGCCACAGATGGTCGGCAGTTGCCATTAGCCATCCTCAATGCCATAGACTTACCCTCACTCACTGCTAGTGATTTATCCCGAGTACTATGGTGTGTGGTAAGGACCAATAGCGCATCTTGGCCAGGCTTTGGTGAGCTCCTCAAGCTTCTCACTGATGAGGTTAGTGCGTTAACCCCTAAGGAGGTAGCACGTACTCTGTTGGGGATGAGCCAAGTACGGCCATTAACAACGGACATCCTCCTCACCCAGCTCGTGGGTGCATTGCTATCTCGAGCAGCGCTGGAGGATACCGTAGGGCTTCAAGAAGCGCTCACCGGCTCGTCTGCATGTGTAGCCTTATGTGCGGTGAGTAAGCTGATTAATGGTGTATCGGGCCGCCGGCCGCCGAGTGGATGGTTGGACCTCCATGACACAGTGGAGTCGTTAGCAGGTCGGCTTGTAGTCGGCAATGGCCTCAGCAATAAGGAGATATGTGTAGCTCTATCGGGTATGGCCACTTCTGGTGTCTTACATCGTCCTTCTACTGCCATCATGCTTGATGACCTCCTCAGCCGTGTTGACACTCTACAGCCTACTCAGCTGGTTGGTGTCTTATGGTCATTATCCAAACTCAATGTGAAGTTGAATGGTGATATCGTGAAGACTAAGATACGCCGTGCCTTGGGTGACCTGGCCCAGCTGCCCCCTAGGGAGGTAGCATCACTGTTACACAGTACAGCGCGGTGTGTCAAGGATAAGGCTGTGTCGAGAGAACTCCGAAAGGAGCTGATACAGCATATCAAACCACAACAACTCAATGGTAACGAGATCAGTGCTGTTATAGAAGGTCTAGCTGCTACTACTTCAACGGAGGGTTTGCCTCTACCAAATGCTGATATCATCACTAGTGTGTTGGACCGTCTCAGCGAAATAAGGCTAACTCTGTCGCCAAGTCAGCTAGTGAGGTGCTCTATAGCCCTGCATAAGTTGCCCAAGACCAGTGGGGTGGTGGAGGTAACTGCCTCCCTCCTACAGTTGTGCGAGGAGAGGCTGTATGCCTTCAAGCCTCAACAGTATGTAGCCTTACTACCAACTGCTACTCTCAATGGTACTATGATGGACCGCAGCTCTAAAGCGGTCTTCACTAAGGCGAGAGATAATGCTCCCAGTCTGTCAGTACAAGACCTGTTGAAGCTGCTAGCTGTATGCCCAGACGATAGTGCACTACTAAGGGCGATCGATGATAAGGTCACTGACGACTACCGTTTTCCACGTCCTACTGGAGCGGTGGTGGCTACTACTTATCTCAAACTGCTTGGCCGTGAGAGAGGCCATCTTGTGCGTAAACAAGTGCCGAATTTAGTGAGGATGAGTCGGAGCACTGAGGAGCTCCATGAGTTGTTATATGCGGTGGGTGAGCTGAGTAGCAGTGACACCATGGACCACCTACATACTAAGTATGGAGTGCAGGCCCTCGAGACTGCAGTGGAGAGGATTGGTCTTGAGGAGGACCCAGTCGCACTGCTAGAGGCTCTCAGCTATGTACACATGGATCCTAACAGTACTATATCTGCTATTATCACCAATATAGAAGCCAACTGGTCGGATATAGGCTTAGTGGATAGAGAGAGAGCATTGGCGGCTATGGCAGAGTTGGGTGTGGACTCCTCCAATATACCCCAGCACCTAGCATCAGCCTCCACCTTACATGGCATGTGGTCTCGTCTAGTGCGAGATGCTCATACTCCTGCCTCTATAGTGGCAGTAGTGTTGGATAAGTTCAAGGCTGATGTAGGGTGCCCTGTGGATGGCCAACGTTTACAGCAACTGTATCTTCATGTTGGCATGCATTGTTCTAGTGATGCTACTATATCAACAGGTGGGAGGTTGATAAGGTAAGCATTGCAATGTGCTCTGGCAGGCACTAAGTACAGTCGTTGGATATCTGATGCATTGTCCTATCTAGGGATACCTCATCAACCGGATTCGCCTCAGCTGGGCGGCTCTTATGTAGTAAATGCTCATGTATACTCTCGGCTCACTATCAATCAGGTCATACTTGCTAAACTACCGACACATGGTATTGGAATAGTTATGGATGAGTCTACTTATCCTGGGGGTAGACCAACAGGCCGAGGACTAGTCCAACGGAGGCAACTATTGAGTCACCCGGAAGAAGGTATCACTAGACTGGTCGTAGTACGACGATTGGAACTGGTCCGAGCTAGACAGAGAAAGGAATTGGTACCATTCATCGCTAGACTCCTAACAGGATACATAGTAGGCCTTGGGAGTCTATGTAAGCCAATATTGATCGTTTTCTCATCAGACCGATTCACCCCTGTTAGAGCAGTATTCTAATAGCTTGGAGGTGCGTCTTGTCATCAGCTCGAGTAGACGCTGTATTTATTGGTACTCCCATGCGTTTAGATAACGAACGACAGAGCAGTGATTCCACCCGACTCGCCACTGCATGCTGATTATTCAAATGCCCATGTTTCTGATGAGAGTTTCTGATGCTCACTGTTCTTGTTCAGCCGAGTTTTGTAACTAACGCAAAGAGAATATAATCTGGCAGGAGAGAAATGAGTGGTTATCAAGAAGCATGGGGGGGGTTCAAGATCAATATATGTTATATGCTGTCTCCTCTTGCGTAAAGCAGCAAATCAACAGGGTCGGACTGAGTGTGTATAGCCGTGAATTGACATACCAAAAATTGATCGGAATAAAGGGTTGCCAGGGTCGCCCCAAAGGATGAGGGGTTTCGGAACTACGGAGTGACTCCACGGCTTTACCAACGACTGAAAACATAATTTTGGAAGTTGTAAGTGTGGGCTATAAGCTTCTTGTTAGAGGCTGATATTTCCATACTCATTAACAAGGACATTTATTGGTTTATTTGGGATCATAACTCGGCGTGTAAAGTTACCACCTGGCCATGTGGATGATAACAAGTCGTATACGATATTGCAAGCATCAGACTCTGGGAAAAGGGACGAAGTCTGGACACGTGGAATCAGCCGACCAGTCATCCTGTGGCAAAAGTGAACTGAAAACTACTACACCTTCTCCCGTATAGGTGCGACGAGTTACCATGCAAGTGACAGTAATACGCTCGAGGTTGACATTGTGAGCCGAAGTTCATCGTCTTCCTATATCAAATTTGATCGGCGAGTTCAACAGACCCCTCCTGAGCTCCAAGAGCGCCCGTATGGTTGGAATCCACGTTGCTCTTGTTAAAGGAACAAAATCATACACATCTGACAAGGTAGATTATACGCCATCTCCAAGTATGTTCATCTACGTTAACCAGTCAGTTAAATGTAGAACTCTGGCATTAGAAGAAATCAGACGTTTCTTCTGCTTCTGCGTGTTACACGAGAGGCGAATCTTGCTAGTCTTGAACCATCTTGAGATTACTCAGTTTGCTACAACGCAGATAGATTCAACTTTGGGCGCACATGGAAATTTGTTTTGATACTCGCATCACTATTTCCTGGTTGAAACATCGTTTCTTAATGTTACAGGCCTCCCCATAGTAAGGGGGAAAAGCCGCAGCGCTCCTCAAGCGGGTGACAAACGGCAGAGTAGTAGTCCATGGGCAAGCGATGTGCATTGTCATACCCTTAGATATGGCTCACTAGACATACTCGGAATACGCTCACAGAGCAACTTGTTGGATATCTCTACCACAACAACAACGGAAGCATTCCCCATCTATAGTCGACCTAGAAGATTCTATCACGAAGGTATTGAGGAAGACTGTTGATCCTATGAGGGTGACAGTGACCTCTATTATAATGGTATATATCTCATCTCACTCACCACCTTGTGGGGGTAGATTGCCACTTCGTAGGGGTAGTGACTTCAGCATTCATGAACTCATGTGCCTCAGCGGGCATACGAAGTCTTGAAGCAATACTGAGCCGATATGAGAGGGACCTTACTACTAGTAGTTAGCAGTTATACAAGCAGTAGGTCCTACAAGAGGGTCGGCAAGGCTAGCTCGACGTAGTGTCGATCCTGTTGTCTATGGATCTTGGAGTAAATGCTCCTACTGGTGTGTCTTTCCTTGCAGTGGCATGTACCAAGGGTCGAGTCAAAGCCTTGGGATGATGCTATGGTGTGGCAGGAGCTGGTGTAGTAAAATTAGTGACAGTCTGTATTACTATGCAGGGAAGGGGCCTTCACAAGGTGTGGCAAGGCGGCTCTATGAGACTATACAGTGTGGTGATGATCATAAGGAGGTGGAGGACATCCGACTGGCTCAGTGGAAAGAGACTAAAAATAATGGTATAAAGTACGAGTTGGTATGGTCGGAGGCGACCACTGAGGAGGAATAGCCTTTTTAAAGGGTAGAGGTAGAAAAATGGCGGAGTAGAGCCCTCGGTGCAGCACGGCAGAGGCAGGAGCTCGGTTGAAGGAGACCGAGAAGGAGCCTGTTACTACACCACGTTTGGAAGAGCGTGCTGATGATGAGTGTAAACGCCTGTGGAGGGGTTCCAAGGTGGAGGGGATAGGCTACTGACCTGCACACGATATTATAAGTTCGCCAGTCTGAGGCACGTAAGATGTTTCTAACTCGACTAGTGTAGGTCATTACGATCATGTTCTCATTGGTTAATTTCAAGGCGCTGTATAAACCTTTTATTATATATCACTCGGTCGAGGTATAATCACCACAGTAGTGATCATAACTCCGAGTGAACGCTCAATCGAGCTATTCTCCCTCCGATAAGAGACGTTGAGTCCCAGGCCCCATCGTCTCGATAGCAGTAGGCATCTCTTAGTGTACTGTGGCTACTGAGGAGGAGTGGTCATGCATCAGTTGTTGTCATAGACGGAAACGTGGGGGCCATTAGAGATGCCAACTTGGAGATCATCCTTCCTATAGATGGTGAATCTTCCGTTATCATCCCTAGCATTCTCAGAATAGTAGGTCGATCGAGATTTCCATCTTCCCGTAACGGTATGTCATCACCATCAAGATGTGTCCGACATATCGTCGAGCATATTGCGGGGTTGACAATATGGACCTTATGAGCTATGATCAAGTTCGGTATACACACAATGAAGGTTTCCCATCCCAAATGCATGATGTATTGCTGTTGTTTTCTGCCATCGTCTATTGACATCGTCGTGTTGTTAATTCCACAAGGGATCTTCAGCTCCTATTTGCCGCAATGTCCGATATCGACGAGGAAGAGGCGGCCCTCAAGAGGCAGCTCGAGAGTTTACCTCCGTAATATCCACAGTCAGCGCTCATCAGAGATGTTTCTGGTCGATCAGGATTCGTATGAAGCAATGTGACTTTGATGATGAGCAGACGAATAAGATTCGAATCCGTAGGGATGTCATCTTGTACATCCGTTTATTTCTACCAATTCAGTGGTGGCGGAAGCTCTAGGCAAGCACAAGTTGTCAAAAGAAGTTGCTGAGAGTATCAAGACGACCATGGACCAGGACCCAGAGTTCAATATCATACCCGGCAAGGTGTCACTCGTCCCAGTCGTAGTACCTTTGTTGAGCGCTCGTTTGTAGGGGCCATGGCACTGTGTGGTTGGTAAGTCTTTTGGGGGCTCGATAGCCCATGAGAGAAACCACGCGGTGAGGAATTGGGGTTTTGAATTTTTTACAATCATTTCGCGACGCAGGTTTTATTCGATGACATCAACTCCGGCAACACAATACTACTCTTCAAGTCTATGGGAGCTCAGTCGACCATCATTGGTGAGCATTCTCTTCAGATGGTCTTCGCTGTGAATGTTGTTATTCAGATGGGAATTCACATACGGACGCGGGAGGGGTAGTCACTGACTGTGTTCTCGCCAATATCAGCGTATATGGTCCATTTCAGGATAACGCAGTTGAAGGAGGCTGATCATTTTGTTATTTACATGCTCTATGTGTGATCCTAGCTGCATCATAATGTTGTCGCGTTAGAATAGTCCGCCACATGGCGAGATGTCGCAGCACGCCGCTCGGGACGAGAATTGCTTGCGGAGATGCATTAGGGTGATCTAGTCGCAATGCCGCGTGAATAAGTATGCGGATAAAGAAAAGACGACACAGAACGGCTATGTCAGATAAGTGGATTTGCGTCCATGTATTGACAAGCACCATCAAGTTAATGGTGGATTAACTACCCGACCAATACTGTCTTTCACTAGATCTGTCCCGAAGTGATCTGTACCTCGCTTCAAGGTTGACTTCAAGCATGTCACCGGTTAATTACGTTGAAGTAGTCAGAATGATAGTAAGGTATGTTTCTCTAAGGTTTGGCTAAGATAACGTTAGTGTCAAGAATGAGGGACGGTTCTACGATAGACCTCCTATGATAGAAGTTCTATCATCACCATGAGACAACAAAGAGACAATTGGAACGTTGAGAAACTTGCGCCATTGCCCCTGCTGCCTGTTTATATTGTTGTAAACTGCTCTGTCACACGGCCCATCAAAAGAAGACGAAGTGAAGACATATTGTGGAGGAGAGAACACGTACGTACAGTAGACTTGTGCGTGCGCGCTATCCCACTGGGACAGTGCTAGGGTATCCATTTCAGAGAAGGAGTGGAAATTAGATTGAGATAGTTGCAGACCATGAGTGGCCGAATCGTACGTCAATGGCGATAGACTTTATCCATAAGGGTCATCTATGAGAGTACTCGATTCATGACCTATATGACATCCTATTGGCCATGAGATGGAGTTTGATCAGTTCAATCACATCAGACACTGGAGGGAAAGGATGGGTTATGAATAATCTGTGCGTATGGTACAGGAAGAAGAAGAAATATAAGAGTTCGAGTCTCAATGTCGAATGACGACTCTCGAATCACGAGTAAAAATCCCAATTCTGGGTATTTAATTCTCGAATTGATGAAATACTCTGACTCAGTGCCAAAAAATCTGAATCAGCCATTGAGTATAGATTTGAGTCTTGAGTCGTGATTAGGAATCAGGAATCGGATCCAGCGGCTGATTAAAATCAAGGATCAAGGATCTTACTCATCATGAGTAACTCATGATCACGTAATCTGATTCTGTCTCAAGTACTCATACTCTGTTGACAGCACCCTCATCTGAGCTATCCCGCGTAATTGCATGCCCTAGCTGGCGTAGCGCCGCGTTACTAGCGCCACCATCGCACGTCCACGTACGAGAGCTCCAAGGCTAGCACGCCATCTACATACTGATAAATCTCGGCTCTTTCTCCTGAGCAAAGAATCTGAGTCAGTTCTCTCGAATCAAGATGTGAGTTGAATTATGAATCAGGATCAGAGCGTAAGTTGAACCATGGACTCAGGTTTATGAAACAGTATCCGCGTACGGCGTCAGTCAATGGCTCACGCAATCAGGGACCGCCGATTCGGCGTGCGCCCGTGCGTATGCGAAAACTGCGGACTATAATGTCTGAAGAATCTGCACATGATGCACATGATTCCCGAAATTTATACGATTTCAAGCGCTCCCTCGATCTGATTCGGGAGTACAATGTGGGGTGTATTGCGCTCGGCGAGCCGTTGTGGCTTACTGTCAGTTGTACTTCTCCGTTCATCATATAACAATGAGAATTGGGTTGACTTGGCTCATTGGTACTCAGCTCTTGGGCTTCGGTGTCGCCCAAAATATTGGAAGATTCGTGTACACCTCGGAAGACTACGGAATGGACATTGTTGTCCATGAGGGGTCCCCGTTAAAGGCTACTTTCACCTTCTCCGGGCCGGAACAGAGAACTATAGTCAGCAAGCAGTTTCCACTGATAAAAATCACTGACACATCCTACGCGGCTGGTCTCAGTTATGCGGATCTTCATGATATGCTCGCCAAAATACATGCGAGTCTACCCAGTATCAATGTAAGACACGGCGACCTATTCGCATGGAGGTATTATGGTTCGGACTCTTTGATCACTCAAGTCCAGGGGCCTATTTCACAAGCGTCCTAATGTTAGGATTTTAACCCATTAGGATGCAATTTAAGGACAAATGGCGTTCACAAGGGCCCTTTCCTTAGGTTGGGTTAGGACTTTAGGACATTAGGATCCTTACCGTTAGGATTTAGGATATTAGGATGCCTTTGTCCTCAAAAACAGGCTGTTAGGACGCTCGGCTTTCACAAGCTATATTTTTAAGGAAATTTTCATCCTAATGGTAAAGTACCTCGGGGGGGTACTTTACCGACCATCCTAACGTTAAAGGTGTACAAGACGACTCGCTACGTTCCGCCAAACAGCCGTTGGTTCGAAACTCTGCGAGTACATTTTTAAATTAATTTGTAACTTGAACAAAAATCTTGCAACTATTAACAAAACTCTTTACCAAGTTCGATACTTATCTGAAGCTTATAAACTTCGTATGGAACTCCTTACAAATGCTCATCTTCGGTAGATTCAAGCCTTTTTTTACTGCAAGACCCCTCCATATCAGAAAACGTTAAGATCCATAATGGTCCATTACTGGATCATCCATTACTGGATCATTCATTACGCGTATCAGTTGATAATAAAAGTGGTTTTATCTGTTGAATCTGCTGAATGGCGCCTTGTGACACTATCTTTGTCGTCCGTGTGTTGATGAACGGATTCTTATTTAGTTTATATAAAGTATTAAATGGTGGGGTAGTAGAGTTTGCGGCTGGTGTTCGACCGATCCAGGTTCGATTCGTAGTTGTATAATGTTTTACGTTGTGTTTAATTGCCTTTAGGAATCCTAATATCCTCAGTTAGCACATCCTTACGTTAGGTAAGGACGTCTTTAAGTATAGGATCCTAACGCTAGGTAAGGAAAATCTTGTGAAATAGCCTTAGCTAGGTAAGGACGTCCTAAGGTTAAAATCCTATACGTAAAGACGTCCTAATCTAAGGACGCTTGTGAAATAGGCCCCAGGGCGAGAACGTGATGCTCAGAAGATCCACATTTCCTCTGGTCCCAGGCACGTTCAAATATCAAGAGGATGACCAAGTGGCTATTGAGGTTACCATAACCTCGAAGAAAGAATACTCTATCAAGGTGTCGTGCGATGCAGAACCCCCGATAAGAACACCCTCAGACCTTGGTCTGACTCTGAAGGAGTCATCGTCCTTGCCTGTCAAAAGCTTGTATGTCGTTTCCTCGGACAGCGAAAGTTCGTATAACAAGTTCATCGGGGAAGTAATGAGCACATGCACCAAGCAGAGCATCTTGAACGGCAATCTCGACGGGTTTGTTGTTCTCTCACACACGGTAATCGTCATGCAGTTTGGACCGAGGATATTGTTGAGGAGCGACTAGTTAACTAGTTTCTCTCTGGCTCTGCTCATTTATGTCATGAATGGTGACTCTCGAGTTTGGTTACGGCTCACCTACACTCTTTTGTGATATCCAAGCCAAACGCTATATCGTTTTTCTGTACTGCTTCTTAATGGTTGCCTTCAATAAGACAACCGACAACTATTAACTCCTCAAGTGAAATGGTTATGTTCACGTATTTTGCGGTCCAGTCAGGGACGTTGGCTATGTGGACGTAGTAGTAATGGTGCACCACTTGAGACCTTTTCAACCTATCCATTGTTATTGTGAGACGCATTCGATACTACTAAAAGTGTTGTTAAACTCCGGGTCGCATGAGCTGATGCTGGAGGTACTTTTTCGCGGTTCACGTCATATCCAGCTATCCGTAACCGCTCTTCGTTTTCATGGGGACTTTCGTTCGCAGTGACACTAAACAAAGTGCGACGCATTGTATCAGCTCCTCTGAATATTTCGTTCATCTTCAACTTACTCTCCCGAGTGAGCTGTTGAGCCCAACCAAAAACCACAGTTTGTCCTGCGGGGCCCGCAATACAAACCCCAACACCGAATAGCCAACTCCCAAATTAGTGACTCTATCAACACAAAGCAACTCGCCAAATAGGGTAAAAGAAATTCGAACACTATACAAACAGTTTTGAAAAAACAACAACATCCACAATATAAAGTATTCCTTTACAATTTGCCTCCATGAGCACCATCACCAGGAGCCACAGCAATAGTATCACACTTGATGCCACTGGCCTTCTCATACAGCTCGGCAACCTTCTTACAGAAATCATCCACCTTGTCAGCTTCCACCAAGTTAATAGTGCAGCCACCAAAGCCACCACCCATTAGTCTGGCACCGAGGAACCCCGGACAACCCTGAGCCTGGTCGAACATGATATCGAGCTCCTTGCAGGAATTTCCAAAGTCATCACGACTGGAAACATGGGAGTTATTCATAAGCTTGCCGAACGTATCCATATCCTTTTTCGAGATAGCTCCCATTGCCTCGGCAACGCGGGTGTTCTCACCTGAGATGTAGAATTGAAAAATCGATGATAATGTGTTCATGACCATTATAATATGCATATAAAATATAATGGAGTTTCACCCTAGTAATGAAAAACAATAGTGAAGAGCATATTTCACGACCACGGCATACCGCGAATATCGCGTTTTCACCGAAATTTACGCCACCTTACGTGAAAAGGGTGAAACTCCAATAATATACAATTATATTGCATTGTTATTCATATACATATTAATACCATAGTTTGCACGATGTAATGCAGTTCCACCCGTGATATGAAAAACACATTTCACGACTACTACATATCACCGCGAATATCGACTAATAGTTAGAATAATGAGACTACTTTATAGAATGCCATACACCCCAGCGTACCAATAACATGATTGGCTCTCTTTCTATCGTCCTCAGACAAGATGGCCTTCTTTTCCTCGTAGGTCTTCGCGTCGATATCCCTCAAAAAAGGCACGCCAAGAGCCTTAGCGGCATCGAAACAACACTTCCTCAACTCGTTGTATTTACCATCAACCAGCTGATGGGGGGCATGGGTGTTGCATAAGACGAAACGCACATCATCTGAAGACAAAAGAAAGTTGAAATGAAAATAAGTCATTTCACACCCACCTTGTAGGGGAACATAATCACAACTGTTATCGCGGCAATCTAGATGGACAAGTTGGCCACTTTTACCAAAAGCAGAAGTGTACTGATCCAAGATGCCACAGCCCATACCAACAAAGTTGTTCCTGAGGACACCACAATGAGGCGATGCATCCACTCAATGGCTCTTACTCGGCACTTTTGCATGCAAGGACGACATCGAGTAACTTGGCCGTGTACAACTTACTATCAGGTCCATCCAACTCCCTGATGAGATTAGCAGTAGCGAGCTCGATGGCTGCAGAGGACGATACACCAGCACCTAGGCACCACTAAGAAGACGGTCATCGTCGTGATACTTACCAACAGGAACGTCGGAGTTGATGGAAGCTTGAAATGCCGGGACTTCATAACCAGCCTTCCTGAGCTCGACTATCACACCCTTAGAGTAGTTCGCCCATGAGTCGTCTCCCTCATATTTGGTCTCGTCGTTGATATCAAACTCCACCACATTCTTGAAAGCAGTGCTGTGAAGGCGGACCTTGTTATCAGAGCTCTTGCCACCAACAACAACTGTGTAACGATCGATAGCGGCCGACAGGACAAACCCTTCATTGTAGTCGGTATGGTTACCGAGGATCTCAATACGACCTAACAACAGTTATGACATACTTATTCACTCAACAGCGACAACCCACCAGGAGCAGCTCCAAAGGCTGTCGGCTCTGATCTGAATCTCAGACGATAGTCCTTGAGGGCATCAAGCACGAGTGAGGCAGCGGGAGTCTGGAGGGTATTGGACATCTCCTTAATAACAACGATAATAATAAACTACAATCATTCAAATGCTAATCATTCTGACTGAAAAGAAAATAAAATGTCGATCACTTCATGTAGACTATTTAGCGTGAAGGGGACATCTAGCACTACTCAACACAACACTAAGGAAGATACTCCAGCACCGAGCAGGTTCGAGAGATCTCAAATCTAACCGTCAAGGGAAACATGTCTTCGACAATTTTCACTCAGGGACCTTATGAAAATGTCATTCTCAGCATCGTGAACTCGCTTACACACGACAGTAGCAAATTCATGAGGAAACCACCAAATCTGTCCAGCCACACTTTCAAACTGCATATCGATCTCCCAGACTAAGCCGCATTAGTTAGCAACATTGAGTCAGAGAAACCAAGGAGATGTATATTCCACAGCAGTCGTAAAAACTTCGACACTTTCCACTCAGGAACCTTGTGATATCACAATTCTCATCATCGTGAATTCAAGAACCTTATTCATAGATACACTATTAAATCTAGATCCGAGAACTCGTATCGGGTCTATATAAACTCATCCGACTGTAGTCATATAATAAATTAGTGGTTGGCTATATATAATATACTTAATACCATAAAAATATGATATACTGTGTATCCTTAATATGGCGTATTTGAGTTTCTTGGGTAGAGAACATTAGTAACCACACTAAGCTTGACGAAGTGTGGAATGTGTAGAGCACACACAAACCCGAACGCTGATTCTGTAGCGGTTCGAGACTGTCTTCATCGACCGAACAAATCAACTGCCGAGCAACCCGACTACCTAGTGCGGAGGGGATATCGTGTTTGCTTTTGTGTGTGATGTCTCCTTGGCTGTTGCTCCGTATCGCATATCTTAACCTAGCGTCAAGTGATACTACTATTGATAAGTAGGTTCTTCCTGTAAGTTCCATAGTTGTGGCGTTCTCTCAAATGAGTGATAAGGAAGGTATGACGATCGTCAACAGAGTCGTTGATTCCGTGTAAAGATTCACATCAGTTGGCATCACGCATAATAGAGAGCTCAACCTCGGGTAGTACAACGACAACATACTAATGTGAAGTATGATAACAAGCTCCCGAACAGGATATGAATTGGAGCACCAAGTGCATGTCAACCCGAAGGATCCATTCCACTGCGATCGCACATTCCTAGCATGGTGCTCGCCTGGCCCTCTACTGGAGATGTGATAACTAGATACGGGTGACGCTCTCACCCTCTTATGTGGAGCCTCAGCATCGCATAGCACCTCATGATAACCCAAGCAAACATCTCGGCTGTGTGGTCTAGTGGTATGATTCTCGCTTAGGGTGCGAGAGGTCCCGAGTTCGATTCTCGGCACAGCCCTATCAACAATTTCCACTTTACACAAACCACTCGTTCTAAGAAACTTGCATCTGCCTTCTCCAAACCTCTCCTTGCCAACTCTTGCATGTTCACACTCTTCCAATGCCGATACCGTGACACTGTCTAAACTATCTCTTGTGTCACCAGAAGCTGAAGATATATCCCACCATACCTCACAATTCATGAACACCGTCGAGTAATAATGCACTTCTATCTCACCGTAAATGATATTCACTGAGATCCCTCCCACCTGAGAATGCTCCTGGAGGGCATCACTCGACGTATCGGTCCCAAACGGACACAATGCCATCATCGCAAACTTCCAATGTTGCACGCCGAATGGTATGCCAATAATAGTCACAAAACAGACCAACCCCACTAAGGCAAAAACAACAGCATATCTTCATAACAATACAGCGCACCCTACACGCCATATGGTAGATGCATAACACCAAGCCGAGCGGCAGCCAAAGCACATTGCCAACGAGTCTCGCAGTGCACTCACAGGTGTCTATTGCCTGCCTCCTCAGCACTGTCTTACCAAACGGGAGGAATATCTACACGAAACTATCACCATAATATATACCCCTGATTCACAACTCACCAACCATCCGAGTTTAAAGCACTGCAGGCCGAATGGTATTCCAACTATTGTCACACAACACACTACACCTATTGCCACCCCTAAACAGCGACCTTCACAGCCTGCCTACCTCCCTGTCAACTTACACATAAGGAAACTCTCCCAACCAAAGAGAAATGCCCATACTAGATTACATGTCCAATCACCACAGCCTCGGCCGTCAACAATATGATATCTCCGTATAGTCTGGACCTATCCCTAGCAGTGTTGGAAAATACGCACATGAATAACAACACAAAAATTTTTGGGAAATTCTCGTTGGCTTCCGTACACTTCTACCAAAATTCATATGTAAACCTGTATATTCAGTGCCACAGCTGAGCTGAGGAAGGCGAAAATATAACTCACCCGAGTGAGAGTATTAGGCGCATAGTATGGGTTTCTCGGTGGAGGAGGAGCCTGCACCTGGGGATACATTTTTAAATATCTATACACCTCCCTAGCCATAATTAAACCAACACAACACTGCAGAGAAAACCATCAAACTCTTCGTTTTACTACTACTATGCAGCAGCACTACTACTACCAGCCGCGTGCATCAGTGTTATATTATCTCCTTTTAGAAGGATCCGCCCCACAGGCCTCCGAGTATCCTTCTTAGTGTTAACCTACACGACGTACCCATCCACCACTTATAATAGGACTATGTGTTCGCTTTTCTCAGCTGCTCACAATAGTTTTCTCACTCCTTTGCGGAATTTATATACTATTTCAGGATCAAGTCTAACCAGAATTTTCCCATTTAGCTACAAACACATGTAGTTGACCATATGCATATTTCTTCACTCTCATCATAGCGATGCTTCCATCAATGCATAGTTATTATGCATATATTAAGAACATGATACTGCTCAAAAAATTTTCCTTGAAAAAAGTTTTACACTTACTCTCGTGGGAAAATATTCACATAAGCAGCAACGTGACAATATAAAAAATTTTAGAGAAATTTTTGTTGGTCTCTGAATACTCCTATCCAAATCGGTATCAGTGAGGGAAGCGAATGCTTTCATTCAACATACTACGAAATCTGAGGACAAGTGGAAAGTTCTATTTTCAAGTGCTACTTCACGAGTACACAATGTTAAAAAAAGACCCACTCGTAATTTCTCAGTGCACGAAAATACTATTTTAGAGCAGTCGATGATCCCTATGGCGTTTCTATACTATCAACACTCCCTGAGTAATAACAAAACAGAAAAAACGTTTTTCTTCTGAAAAAAGTTTCGCAGTATTTGCGCCCCTAAACTCGTCTGGCATTCGCATGCGTTGAGAAATTACGAGGAGTGGACGTAATTTTTTCTCAACTTCCTTATGAAATTAATAGCACTCTTACAAAATTCAATAAAAAATATAAAGTTATATTTTCAAGTTCTACTTGGGAATAGACCCTTGTAGGTTATCAATATCATCCTTATGAAATTCAATAACAAGTGTTTACTCTTCCCCTTTAGGACCTCTTCCGCATCGTCCAACACAACATTCATATATTCGTCAAAACCCAAGATGACGCCCTCCATACGAAGATCTTTATGATCGTATCTAACCACACGGAACATTGTGAGAATATATGTTTGCTTTCCTAAACTCAGTTCGTGAGCTTCCTCACTATTTTTGGTAGAAATTTACGAAAATCAAACAATAATTTTTCAAAATTTTCATATTCCTAGCAACACATGTAGTTGAACACAGGTATATTATTAGAGTTTCACCCGTGATGTCAAAAACACTAGTAAAAACACATTTCACATTTCTCTTCGCGTAAAACGGGTGAAACTCCATTATTTGTTATTATAACTTTTATATTGGAGTTTCACAACCCGTTTTACGTGAAGTGGCGTAAAACTCCGTGAAAAACGCGATATTTGCGACTTCCAATAGTCGTGAAACATGTTTTTCACTAGTGTTTTTCACATCACTAGGGTGGTGAAACTCCATTACTATTCAACAATGCACATTATTATGTTTATTACAACCACACAACAATCCTCGTCTTCTCAGTGAGGTACCTAAAATTCCCTCTACTGCTAACTACAACCGGGCAACTCACTCACCTGAATATCAGGTTAATCGGCATCGTCATAATTTTCTGCAACTTCCTCTTCGACATCATCTTGTTTACGGAGTAGTAGTAGTAACAAAACAAAAACCCCTTGGAACAAAATCAGTGTTGGAGTGGGAATATATATCTTCCCTCCCCTTAGCTGACCTCAGGACTTTCCTCACCAGCACATGTAGTTGCATATTTTCTCACCAATTTACAATCGCGCCCGCCCGAAAATACAACGCCGATATTATTATACTGTGATAACGCAGAATTCATGCTGCTGTTGATGATTGTGAATAATAAAAAAAGTTATGAACAATATTGACAGATTGGCAACAGTTATAATAGTAAAAGGTATTACAAATATCATCACATGATGTTGGAGTTTCTTCACCCTAGTGATATGAAAAACACTAGTGAGAAATATATTTCACGACTACTGCATATCACCAAACGGGTAGTTGTGAAACTCCAGCATCGTTAATCGTTAATCGTCCTCAGGAGTATTCAAACTCCACACTTCGACGTCTTGTATTATAAAGTCTTCACTCGAGGCTAGCGGAGCCGAGTTGTAGGTCAGACAGTTGCCAGTAGACCCCTGAATGATACCACAACAATCTCAACCTCTACTATTCGATTACTACACACCCTATGTTCACACCATCTATCGAGAGAGTATTTCCCACCATGTAGGTCATTACTCACATAGTCTACTTATTAGCATTCATTCGGTAGAGGTGACACGACGTATGCATGAACAAAAATTGCAACATATTGTGTAAATTCCAAAGTGTATAAAAACAAACAAATTTTTTTATGAAAAAATATGCACAAATATAATATACATTATATATATGTACTTCATATTTTCCCGACAAGGAGTATTGATGTTACCCTGAGCCAAGAGTCGTAAATGCATATCGCACTCTGTCCAGATTTCCCTCCACCTCCTATTACTAATCGGCGTTCATCGCCATACTGAAAAATAATACATACGAAGAAAAAAAACAGTCACGCGCCACAAAATTATTACTTGAAAAAACTCATTTTTGCTACTCCAAGGATATACTGTTATACTCCCTTTTTCATAGCCGTGCTTTCCAAAAGTGAAGACCCAACTCTCACCTGAACCGTCACTGCGCCACAAAATTATCCACATATGTTCATACCATTCCCGCAGAACTTTCCAGATTTTCTCCACTGCGCCATACACAGCGCACCAAATACCGTTCCTTCCGTATCTTTGATTAACAGAATAGATGGACACGGCATGCGCTCCATGTGCCTAACATGGAGCCATCAAAACGTCGTCACTCGCCACGAAATTACCTATAGAAGTACTCCAAGGAAATACCATGCACTTTCGGAGAGTACGATAATGTCCATTGCTGAGAATACACACATCACCATCGCGTTAACCTTCAACGCTATCATACCGTAAATCGCAACATTATAGGTAGATGCTCTGACAGTACAGAGGCGGCTTTCCTCGTCAACAACCACGGGTCTTTCGCTTCGAGGTGACTGAATGCAATACAGCTGTTTTACTGTTTCCAGGTTTTTGCTTCACAATATACAAAATGTATACTACTAATATACAGTATTTTATTATGAATACATAAAATGGAGTTTCTTCACCCTAGTGGTATGAAAAATGAGCATATTTCACGACTACTGCAATATCGCCTTTTTCACAGAGTATTTCGCAACCTCACGTAAAACGGGTTGTGAAACTCCAATATTACTCGATAAGAATTAGTTATGTGTGAACAGAAATTATGGAAAAGTAGAATTTTTCATGCAGTAGCCGAGGTGTGGTAACCGATTCTAGTTATTCGACGCAGATAAAATACTCCTTAGTGTTGGAGTAGGAATATATGTTTACTTTCCTCAGCTACTGAGCTCAGGAGTGAACACAGTGTTGGAGTAGGAATATATGTTTACTTTCCTCAGCTGCTGAGCTCAGGAGTGAACACAGTGTTGGAGTAGGAATATATGTTTACTTTCCTCAGCTGCTGAGCTCAGGAGTGAACACAGTGTTGGAGTAGGAATATATGTTTACTTTCCTCAGCTGCTGAGCTCAGGAGTGAACACAGTGTTGGAGTAGGAATATATGTTTACTTTCCTCAGCTGCTGAGCTCAGGAGTGAACACAGTGTTGGAGTAGGAATATATGTTTACTTTCCTCAGCTGCTGAGCTCAGGAGTGAACACAGTGTTGGAGTAGGAATATATGTTTACTTTCCTCAGCTGCTGAGCTCAGGAGTGAACAAGTGTTGGAGTAGGAATATATGTTTACTTTCCTCAGCTACTGAGCTCAGGAGTGAACACAGTGTTGGAGTAGGAATATATGTTTACTTTCCTCAGCTACTGAGCTCAGGAGTGAACACAGTGTTGAAGTAGGAATATATGTTTACTTTCCTCAGCTACTGAGCTCAGGAGTGAACACAGTGTTGAAGTAGGAATATATGTTTACTTTCCTCAGCTACTGAGCTCAGGAGTGAACACAGTGTTGAAGTAGGAATATATGTTTACTTTCCTCAGCTGCTGAGCTCAGGAGTGAACACAGTGTTGGAGTAGGAATATATGTTTACTTTCCTCAGCTACTGAGCTCAGGAGTGAACATAGTGTTGGAGTAGGAATATATGTTCACTTTTCTCAGCTGCTGCGCTCAGGAGTTCCCAAAGATAATTATATAAGTTTATATATGAATTCGTGTACAGAAGTCATCAGAAAATTCCGTAAATTCAACAAAATTTCTATATTAATAACAACACATCAAAATTACGATGTGCACCTTTTCCCCACTGCTGTTTTAGTGGAATCTCCACACACACACATAATAAACAAATATATACTACTTTTGAATATACTGCAATGCACATTCGTCATCCACAGGTATAGTAAGCACAGGGCCGGCTGACTCATCCTCCTCCTCCCCCTCTTCAGAAGAAGATCCCTGTATATCACTGATAGCCACCACAGAAACCTGCACAATGTTGGAGTAGAGAAAATATATGTTTGCTTTCAGTTCAGCTAAGCTCGAAAAATTTTCCCAAAAATTCTCTCAGAATTTCCACTTGACCATGAACACAATACTTACCCTAGATGGTGACGGAGGAATGCCCGGTGTCCTACTGTCACCAGAACCTTCAACGTTATCATCTGTAAAAACTATGAATATTCCCAAACACGACGAGGTTATCACCGTCGCCGAGGCCCAACTTCGCGAGCTCCTCCACTACAGTACTGCAGCTGACCGGCACCTCCGTAAGTGTACTGATTTCTGCGGGGCTCTCTCTTACTAAGTGAAGACATGATGTAGACTACGAAGCGATATTCGAGGCCAGGAGTTTCTTCACTAACTTCACTATCAAATCTTATACGAATTCGAGCAGAAATTTTCACAAACTATCAAAATTTCCCCAAAATTCCTCAAAATTTATATACTATCACCAACGTAGTTGACCATGTGCATATGTCAAACATATCCGACGTGTCTACTTGACTTCTCCTGAGCTTCAAAAACGCTTCCTGCGAATTGGGGAGCGAGCGGGGCATATACCGCAACAACACAAATTCTCGCGTTGTGCGTGCGTGCAGAATTATTCTGGCTTAACTACAAAGCGTAGGAGGCTACCAGATACGTCAAACGACTCCTCTGAATGTCGAACTGTTCGCATTGCAAACAGGTCGGAAATATATGCACGAAAAACTTTAATGACGGAGAAATGTCCTACCCGGGGATCGAACCGGGGACCTATGTTAAATTCATTGATCGAATCGATAGACGTGGACTCAGTGAGCTCCGCCCCTTCCTCACGAAGGCCGAGTACACTATGTAGTGTCCACTAGGATTGCAGGCAAATATCCTTATTGCATATATACAACAAAAACAGCATAAACTTTATGCTCTCATACTTTCTTAAGAAAACACCAACATCTACACTCCGGGAAGCTGCTTCTCGCCAGAATTACCTTCACGGTCTTCCGCGATATCATCAATGATATCGATCAATCTATGTGCTATCCTATACAACTTTTCCCGACTGGGGAACTGACAAGGGAAAATATGCACATTTGTTGGTGACAATATGAAAATTCTGGGAGCAATTTTCGAAATTTTTCCCCTCTACCCGAATTCGTATGATAACTGAGTAAAATATATATTCCAACTCTGTTTATAATAATCAAAAACACCTACTTGGAAAACAACAACATTGTCGTCCGAGATGGACTGTGATGGGCTCCCACTATCAAAGGAGGCGACTCGGTGTTTACGACGCCCATGCAGTGTGCTAAGCTGTAGTTGAAGAAAATGAGCTGCATTCTCGTCTGGATCGGCCTTCCCGTAGTGACCAAACGTTCCTGATAGTTTATGCAACCAACACGACTGCAATTAAATTATCTACCTTCAGGAACAGGCTCTCCTTCGAGCTCGCTAGTTGGTACAGTAACAGCTCCACATTCTACAAGATCTCTCAAATCAACATACACCTTGGAAGACAATGTAGTCCAACGGTAGAGCGTCTGACAACCTACCTGGTAAGCCCCCATCCCCTCCGTCCGCACACGTTCGAACCGCGGGTCCGGCTCAAAATGCAACGTAGACGCACTTTCTGATATTGTCAGGAGACCAGGTGCCTGAATACCCAATCCTATCATAATCATAATCATCAGCAACAACAACATATACAACAACAACAACAACAACATATACACCGACAACAACAACAACAACAACAACAACAACAACATATACACCGACAACAACAACAACATATACAACAACAACAACAACACCAACAACAACAACAACAACATATACAACAACAACATATACAACAACAACACATACAACAACAACGCCCTTTCTGGCTATCTGTAGTTGCTGTAAGGAAGCAATAAGGGTGGTCGTGTTAAATGTTCAAAGTCACTGAGGTGGTTGAGCAAGATGGTTAGCGGTGGTCAGTGTGTCCGACAATCTGTACTAGGCAGTACTGTTGATACAATTGAGTAATCTGTCATTGAGTAGTCTTTCATTGAGTAATCTTTCATTGAGTACTCTTCCATTTGAGTAGTCTTTTATTGAATAGTTATTATGTATTCTTTTTATTCTTTAAATTCTTTAAAAAAAACAATCTGTACTGACGTACTCTTTTAGGTGGCTGCCCATGTGCTAAGGCTCTTACTGAGTCCAGACTCAGGGGCAACGGGACCATACTAGAAATAGGCCAAGTCCCTGCCCTCAACAACAACAACAACAACAACAACAACATATACAACAACAACATATACAACAACAACATATACAACAACAACATATACAACAACAACATATACAACAACAACAAGCCACACAATGACCCCTACCCACCTTCACATCTGGTGTGCAGAACCAGGCATGTTCTCTTATAAAAATATATGGTGACGCTGCATCAACTTCACATTGACTCCGGGACCCTCCTACCCAACACGACAGTGCTCAACTATGCAGTTACTCCAACGGCATCACCACCTATCTCTTCTATCACGGCTTCAGGAGTACCCACTTGAACTGATTCGTCTGTGGCCATCTCAAAGTGTTAAAAAACTACACACAATGACATCGTTGAGCGGCACATATACAGTGAAAATAAAACTAAAACCCCTCATGACTGTCGTCGTAATTTACGCAATTAGCAACCTCCTTTCCCAATAAAAATTCCGTTAGCAACAAGCACGAACCGAGAAAAAAGATCCAATGTCGACCCATCGAAAGCACAGTGGTAGTACTAGGTCAACAAACTCTTGTATCGTCCGAGTCAACCCAGTTCACAACAGCAGAACAACTTTCCTCACCTGAGCTCGGGAGTTTCCTCACTAATAATACAAATTCACATTCAAGAGAATTTCGCGAAATTTCCTCAAAATTTATGACTAACATCTGTAGTTGACCATGTGCACATTTTTTCGCACTGGTTTACAGCTGGAGGATTCCACTGCCCTTTTCCTTGAGATTTCCTTCCCACACAAATTCTTCGCTGTGCGCAAAGATATGCTCCAACTCCGCCTCACTCCGCAGTATCACAATCACCATGTCCCATCTCATCCGATACCAACTGTCGCACAAACGAACCATCAGTCCTCCTCTCAGCAAGATATCTTTCCGCACAGCGGAGATTTTTTCTACTCATCACTGAGTCAATACCATAGAACCTGGTAGTTTCTACCTAGTGCCTCTGTTACTGATACAGTGTGATAACGAAGTCGGTGTAGGAAATTCTATACCACTCCTTTGCTAACTTCTAGAGCCTCCTTTCCACACGTGCAAGAAGGACCTGTTTCCGCCAATGCCACATCTCTCCTTGAGTCTACTCCTCTTTTCGCGGAACAATTTCAATATTCTCACTACTGCTGCCCACTAGCCTTCAACACAACACTAAAGACGACGCTAAGGGGGCCTTCCAAAGAAAGAGAACATCCTAAAGCCAATCATAGCAATTACATGATCATCATCATCTATGCTCTATAGAACGTCGCAACTATCCCGCAACTTACCTACGGATGATCAAAATAACAAACACCCGAAGACAGGATGAGACCAAACACAATGAGAGAGGATAAGCTCCATCGAAGAACGACTTTGGGACTGTACAACAGTTATTCGTGGTATATCTAGACTCTCCATTATCCATCTCAACATCAAATCTTGAAGATCGAGATAATAATAATAGTGGGAATTGATAGGCTGAAAGCAACATCAATACATTGAGCACCTTATCATCAGTTTTATCATTATATTAGCATAGCATAGTAGCTAGCCTAGGCTTCAGCACAGCTTGTAGGATATTGTGCAATAGGGACGATTGTGGAGGATCATGAGTAGAGGAGTACAATTTCCTAGACATTACTAACCCACTCGTCACATATTTGAGCTGCGACTCTCCCATACACCACTCAGACTTCCGGAACATTAAACTACGATGAGTAGCCTACAGACCTCATAAAGTAGTGACGTACAGAGTAGTGTAATGATACCTGCCTAGGGACGGCAGTGGGGGGGGGGGGAGTTAAAAGGCTAAATGACGACTGAATCACAACAACTGCCCAGTAGTCTCGGGAGTTGAATTACCACCGAAT